CAGTTTACCAACTTTAAAAGTAACAAATACAAGTTACAAATCCTATGCGTGTCGCTGAAAAAATTTGATAAAGTTCGCGTTTAAAATTAGGATATTTGGTCACATTTTCGACGAAGTGCGCTCGCGCGACCTTTTGTTCGCTTACATTTTACCTAGGTAAGCGACTCGATATGACCAAATTGCGGTGACATATCATTGTCGTTGAAGTCAGTCAGGGTCGTATGGCTAATTTTGGATACACAGGTTATTTATCATGCGATTTAGATGTGCATTATTTGCTATGAAATATCAACTAGTGTAAAGGGATTACGCACTCGTACAAGCATAGCGATTATAGTTGTCATAGCGTTGTAACGTTTTTGTTTCCAGCAAATCTAATTTCATTTTTATTGAGCCAGTTATCGTTTGAGTTAAGTATGTTTATCGGGTAAAAGTTTTGAGTATATTTTCTGCGGCCCACATTTGAACCCACCTGTAGGTCATTTTTGACAGTTTTTTCTGCAAATTTTGGTAATTAAAAATAATTAAGCATTCGTGCCCTGACATACGCTAATGATACTGTTGTGTTATTTCCTTTTGGCTCGCTTTTAATAATTAGTTTGGTATTGGCGTAGGTGTCACTTTACTATTCTAAACCGAAATTTCAATAGAAATATGACTCGACCGAACACAGCTTTCGCGGTCGTTGTTGGCTACTGTTTTTCATTGGAAGGCAATCGCCGAATGTTATTTTTTGTTATGTTATTTCTCGGAAGAGTTATAGGCTACTCAGAGTTGCATTCAGAGCAATACGGTCACCGGGCGGGTCAGCGAACTTACGCAATATGTAAGTAACCCACAAGAACGAAATATACACGAGGCAGGCAGTTAAATTTGACAGCTCCAGCCTATACACATATAGGCTATTAGGTTCAACGATAGCTAGCCAAGATGAATTGTAAATCTAGGAGTAGCAAATAGCAAATATGTTAAATTGTAGATCGGGGTAGATTACACTAATTGTACCGGTACCGAATGTAAACCATATTTTACCCGAAGTACCTTGGTGTTGGTACCCGGTATACATTGCACTTAGTCGTCTCTTACGACCGAATCGGTCAAAAGATTCCTAGATGAAATTTATCATACAGGGACCTGATTGGTATGTGCACTTGACTTCCAATTTTAAATCCCACAACTGTCTTTTTCTGAACTTCTTAAAAAGAAAAGTTGAATATAAATTTATGCGTTCAAATGAAGAAATTCGGACCAAATTGTCGACATCCTGCTGTTTATAAATATATGAGAGCGAGAGTATTGTCGTTTGTGCCCACGCTATTTTTATTCTCAAATTGCCATAAAAGTGGGAGACGGGCGAATACGCTATACTATACTGTGGTATTAAAATTATTATAGGCATTTTATTTTGAAATATTAAAGAAAAAACAAGGTTGTAAAACGTGGAGGTTGGTCATACAGTCAACACTCTATTTCTTCTGGCACGTTCTATTTTGTTTTTACGTCGATTTTACGATACGTGAACAAAAGACGAACCTTTTCAAATTTTGCTTAATGGTGTGTTTCGTTGCCTGAAATGTAGCAACTTCAATAATGATGGGTCTGCTATGATTTTGCTTTGTAATATGGACTATGACCGATAGGGCGTTTTTAAAAGGATTTCCAATATCCTTTTAGAAAAAAAAATGAAATGGGTTCGAGACTCAATCACCAGTGTATATGGGAAATTTTGTAACAATTTTCGATGAACGAAAATATTTATATCCAGAGGAAAATGTTTGAATTTTATCCGAAAAAAAAAATCATGAACATATAGCCAACTTTGGGTTAATTTAAGTTTGTCTAAATGTTATCATATGCTATATATTACTTTTACTAAGCGAACCGTTTTGATCCTCGCTTTGCATTCAGGTTTACGCTATGAATAGCCCAGATTTTAATATCCTCAAATACACCTATGCGTGTTGTTTATTGTAAGCGGCCGCTCTGATGTACCACGATACCCGATTGATTAGGAAGGTTGTTCGCAAACATACATGACTTTGCGTTTTTCAAAATAGCAACTGCAAAATTGAGTCGAGATGCGTTCCTGGTTAAATATTCTTGCGTTTACAAGTCCATTCGAATGTGGGACATTGAAACAGTTATAATATGTTTTATCCCCGAAACACCATATTCTGACGGGTTTTTATAGAATTCGGTTGCGATGATTTGGAAATGCATTTCATTTGCCGATTTTTTTTTATCAATTTATCATAAGCTGTGTACAAAAGAAATACATTGCGGGGCGATTCTCATTTACTTTTTAATAATAATGGTAGAATTCGCATTTCAATGACCAGTATGTATAAATGTGTATTGTTGTTCGTTAGCGATCTTCACCGAGTCTTTATATGAATTAGTGATGATAAGCGGACAGCGTTGTTTACCGGGCAGCCGTGTGTAAATACGCCCAACCGGCCATCGACCAACAAACAACTCCACTAATAAGAATGTTGTGAAATTACAAAAATATCGTGTAAATCAAATATCTTCCATATATGTATCTACTATTCCGAATATGATTTAACATTGCTTGATTAGAAATTCGGAAATTTAACATTTGAATGATATCGCGAGTAAGGTGTGAAGTTATTTTGCCCTGTCCTCGTACATTTTCGTTTTCTCCTTATTTAAAATTAGTTTATTTTATTACAGTGTATCTATCTATCTGTCATTCTGAAATAGAAAAATAGAATTCACGCATAAAAGAAATAGTAATTGATTATTGGCGGTGTCCAGATAGGTAGTTTGCACTGCGCTTCCTTGTCAGTCGCAAATCGCAGTAACCCACGTTTTTATTCAGTTTAGAATTTGATAAGTGAGTAAGGTTAATTGTCATTTGCCCTGAACGCGATGCGTGCAACGCATTGATTAGGATTCGCTGTATGTTAGCATTACTGCCAAGCCAGATCTTGAAATATAAATTGTCTTTTAACGTCGGATTTTTTATAGCACACGATTGGCACAACTTGCATTTGTATCTAATTTATCACCGGATTCCAATTGTCATGCAAGGTAATATCAACGAATAGACTACCGGTGATTTCATTAATGGTTACCGGCCATTTACTAAGAACAATATACCGTTCGCGGTACAAGGCTATCGGAGGAAGCGTTTCATTTGGCATTATTATACCTTATGTATTTACGAAAGCTTGGAATACAGGTAATGCAATTCATTGCGCATCTATCTTGAATATAATAGAAATGAAAATTTGATTTCATTCGGGATAACGAAGGTTTAGGTACGTGGATTTCCGCCAGGTTTGTTGCTCATCCTAGTAGTCGTCCGCAAACGACCCATTTCTACACAGTGCGCAATTGTCGTCGTGGCGTATGGACGTGTGTGAAGAGGTTTATGAGTTATTTGGAATTCGGAAGCTGGACTACCGGTTCAATATGCCGGTAGCTTAGGTCGATTTTTCATTCGCCTTTGAGAATGAGTGAAAATGTTTCGTCGTCTGCGAAAATATGGTTTGAACTTGGATTGTTCAGTCCGTGGTGTAAATCTCGAAAGTGAAATGTTCGAGCTTTAAAATGGCATTAGTTAAATTGTAAAAACGCCTACCTACTTCTAGGAATTTATATGCACAACGTTCGTCACCCGTTATGTTAGTTGACGAAGCTATCCTTGCGGTGTGGCGATACATTTGAAACAGCGGCCATAAGACTATTTCCGTGGTTACATGTCACCATTCGTTGTATTGTCCTGATTTCAATATTATTAAATATCAACTACGATGAATTCTTTGATGAAAATAATACTGAACCACTATATCTATAGTTACCCAATATTCAATTGATCTTCCCTAATTGATGGAGACTGAAGGTCGGAGAATATGTCCCGTGAATGGGATTCCTTGCGATAACGTTAACGTAATGTTCCGAGAAATTTGTCAAACCCCAAACAGCCTTCGGCGTTCCCACGGCTCCAATCAGTAATGGACTTAAATTAGATTAAAATTAGCGCTATTCGTCTCTGCTTTATGAAAGCCGTCGTCGTCATGAACAATTCCAGGTGAATAGATAAAAAGGCGACGATCAAAATTAATACGGTTCAACAATGAATAGTAAACGGTACCTGTAACCATCACCTTTGTGTTTACCTAGATGGGATTCTACAGATTCGCTCGATCGTTAATTACTGTTGATTGTTCGCGGTCCGACTACAAGACTGTGGCAGGTATTTCATTACCGAGGCGCTTTCATAATTATCATTAACAATAAAACGCGTCTGTTATTCCGGTAAAGACGTTCTTTTCATGGAAATTGTCTTAATTGATATGAAAAAGGGTCGCGTCAACAGTGTTTAGTCATCGTTTTTAGTCCAAAGGCACGGCCTTTGTTTTTGATTCTTTTGAATCTTGTTATAACTGTAGCGTGTCAGTTGATATGCCGCCTTGATTTTATCATCCTGTATTCAGCGCATGTAGTTAATAAAAGTCGGAAAAGTTTTGCCGTTTCGTGTAGATAGCTTGAATACACGTAGTACTGTGTGTATTAGGATATGCGGACATGAACATGCGTAATGGCTTACGTTTTATAGTACATACTCATCAGTTCTGTTGAGAGACTAGTATAATACTGTATATTGAATGTTGCATAAGTCGAAGTTAATTTTTAGGAAGATAATGTTTATTTACAAGTGCAGGCAATAGATATATAGTAGGTATTGTACCTAAAGGCGTATTTATATTGTGGTTGGTCTTGTATAATACTGGTGGAAAGTAGTGTATTTGGTCTACTACAGTACATTACGACACCCTCATTTAGAGATGGTATTTTAATATCAGTAATGATCTTACTCAATTAACACAAAATGCGCAATGCATTAAAACTGAACAGAATTATATCACTTTTATTATATTAAAAATTATTTTAAGTATGTGAGATTAGATCTGACTATATCTATGAAGTTTATAGTTACTTGGCAGCCTATTTTACCATAGTTAATGAATTTTTTCTCTAATTTTCAGACATTTTTGTATTTATATAAAATAGTTATTTAATCACAGTAGAAAAAGCATTCCATTAGAAAAATGAGTTTGGACTTGTCGTTACGTCGTTTTGAGAACGTCAGTGGCATGTCTTTAATGGACCATGCCAGGGCTATTGGGATGGGTGGAATGATGTCATCACTGTCACCTCCCTCGAGCCAGTTCTCTATGTCTCCACTCTTTCAAAGTTCCCCCGTCGCTCACATGAGAGATGACTTCTCTCCTGGTGCTTCGCTTATGCCTCCAAACCTTTTTCCAAATGCAAATCTATTTAATCTGGCCAAGTCGACTATGCAAAACAACTTTAAAATCGAAGATCAAATGCCTTTTGTTACTAAAGGTTTGATTTTATTGAATATGATTTTACATTGCACGCAGTTAGAAACACTGTTGGGTTCAAAAATTTAATAACAGGTTCTCTTATGTATCAATCTCAACTACTTCCTAGAATGTAAGTGCAGAATATACAATTTAGTATTAGTAAGATTACATTATTCTGCCCAGTCATGCATCAGTGATTTTTGGTAGTAGAGTTTCAAAATATTGAATATACATTATTAAATTTTTTTTTTCTATTTCAGAAGATGGCAAAGAAGCCAAAAGTTGCCTTATTTGCGGTGATCGTGCAACTGGTCTCCACTACGGAATCATATCATGTGAGGGCTGCAAAGGTTTCTTCAAACGAAGTATATGCAACAAAAGAGTGTATCGCTGCACCAGAAATAAAAATTGTGTTATGTCAAGAAAACAAAGAAATAGATGTCAATTTTGTAGGCTCCTGAAATGTCTACAAATGGGAATGAATAGAAAAGGTAATTTTTTTTTTGGCGTAATAATCATAACCTCTTCTGGCTGTGAAGTTGTTTAGATCTTTCAAAATAGAAAAATGTATTTGGCATAATAGTAGTATATAGTAAGGTAAGTGTGAAAATTCTGGCTGTTTAATTTTGGGGATCTAGCCATGCAAGACTGCACATATGAAACTTACTTCACTACTGAGATTTTCTGCCATACTACGCTTATTTCGTGGTTCCACACATTTTTGAGCCTTCCAATGTCTAATATTGAGGGTTTCAAGAGACAAAAGTGTAAATGCTGAAATAGAATAAAAAATTTCATTGAAAAAATTACAAAGAAAAACTTTTTTTGAGCCGGTTTTAATTAAAGTCCGAAGCCATATTCACCAAATATTTCAATAAAAAAAAGTTTTTTTTTCATTTTATCAATTCATTTTTCAATTTTCATGAGTTTGGCTCAATTACATTCTAATATTGTTTTGTATCTAAGTGTACCATATTATTTCATCAACCCACTTTCTATTTTGATTACAGCAATTCGGGAAGATGGAATGCCAGGTGGTCGAAATAAAAGCATTGGTCCAGTACAGGTAAAAACAATCTATTTATAATATTAATTTATCCTATGAAATGTCTTGTTCAAATCACAACTTTACACCAAAAAGTTGTGTAACTTTACTGACATTTTTTATGCCAGTTTTTGGAATGAATTACGGATGGATATGACTGCACTAATTCGGCATGACTCAAGGCAATCCTATTTGAATCTTACCTTATTTAGATGTCATTCTATACTTTAGGTAGGATAACAAAGTGTAATATGGTTTTTGTGTCATTTATCACTGTTGCTTACTTGCTTCTATATAACAATATTAGTATTATTATAGTAAAAGTGTTATTGGTATTATATTATTTTAAAATTGCATTTTATTTTCACAAATACTATATAATATGGACTGGTATCAATTTCAGGATATATTTGACAATTCTGCTTGATATTTTTAATCTGTAACCTGTTCTTTTGCTTCGAACAATGCTCTGCATAAGCAGCCACTTATAGGGACTGAATTCTTTTTGTTTCAGCATTCATTGCCTACCCAATTTATTACACCCTGGGTGGTGGACGAAGGATTTGAACCCAAGATTCGAACCCTCAACGTCACCACAGTTATTTCTTAAAGATTTAATAACTACTACTACTAGTCTACCTTGCGCTTAATATTGTTGAATTATTTTTTCCCAGATATCAGATGAAGAAATTGAACGAATTATGTCGGGAAAAGAATTTGAAGAAGATGGTCTAAGAGAGAATCACATGGGACTCGATGGAAATATGAATAACCTCTCGCCTGGATCTTCCATGAATCCATTTATTTCGTTCTACAATACCTCAAATAATTTATCTCCTTCTATCTCATCTCTTCCATCCCAAACAAACAACTTCCAAAATTCAATCACAGCTACCTCAATACTAAGCTCTCAGTTCCCAACAAGGTGAGGGTGATACTCAAATGTTTCTTATTTCTTTTCTTAAACTAGGGAATTCCTAACTAAGGGGTGTAAGAACAGTTCCAAAAGGATAATGATGAAAAGTTACTAATTTCATATAAACTTTGACACTCAACTTTGTGTCTTCAATAAATTTCTATTTTTTTTTTACAGTGAACATGAATCCTATCAATTTGGTAACAAGGCATCTCAGTACAATCCTTATTTGGCCGGACATAATCAGAGACTGTAAGTACAGTTCTATTATATTACATGGAGTAAATTGCATTTTGAGAATTTTTACTTGCTGTGGCAAAGCAAAAATTCTGTTTTTACTGCATTGAAAATAAGTATTAAACACAAAAAAGATTTCGACAGTTAAGTGAATTGCTTGCTTTATTGATCAGATCATTCAGTCAGCAGGTTGACAGCCAATTTCCTTTTTTGTTGAAATCATATGCAAAGACATTCATGTGCATAAATAAGTGAAAGAGTTGGTGAGCCAAATGTTCAGAATCCATAATTTTTTCAATTCCGCGAAAATGAGCGAAATTTTGTGTATGATTGTGACCCATAAGTTTTAGTAATCTAGGATACTTTGCACAAAAGTTATTTTCTCTCAGAATATGTTACAAACGACTGTTTTTTAGGTCATTTTGTACATATTTTTGAGTTTTTAATAACTGAAAAATAATCATTGAACTTTCAACAAAAAATACTTTTTTGTCATTTGGATCAGTCTATTAACACTGACAGCTCCTGATGTCACCCATTTTTAAAATGATTTTAGAAATGTATTTAAACATGTTTTTTTTCATCTCTCGTAGACATTCACCAGAATCAGCTTCTGAAATGAGCAGCGGTGCACTGGTTGAACAATTATTGAAGGCAGAAGATGATTCGGATCTTGTATCTTTATCTCAATGCAAATTACTGATAACATCACAGATAAACAAGGTTTGTTCTCATACTTCCATGATTCATGGTTTTTTTCAAAAGACTCGTTGTGGTTACCTGATATAAAGAATAATTCATTACATTGAAAGTATTGAAATAATCGTATTAAATTGACCTCAAATTAATGCAGTTATTGTGAATTCTAACTTGTTAAAAGTCTTTTCTCATTGGGCCCCCAATGAATCGTTCCGAGGCCCCACTGGCCAAGTTTGAGAAAACCATGAACATATAACACTGAATAAAGTTAGCTCGTAGAATATTTCCAATTGCATTAAAGTCATGAGTCTTTCGTAGGAAATTTCATAAATAAAAATTTTGGATTTTAGGATGATCTGTTCAGTTGCCTGTGCACAATCGCCGATGAGATGCTCTACAGACAAATTGTGTGGGTAAAGAAATTACCATTTTTCGACTCAATTTCAATCAAGGGTAAGTTTTTCTTTATTGTTATTTAAAAAGTATCTTAATTTATTGTTTTATACCATTTTAAGTTGTTTGTGTGGCCCAGTCATCTGTAGCCTTTTGTAGTATTATTGTACCAAAGTATTTCAATGAAAGCTTGAGACTTTAAAAAGTCAAACATTTCTCGATTTAATTTCTTTCATTTTTTGTATTTTAATGTTAAAAGCCCTGGATTTGCAATGTTGGAAATGTATCTTATGCCACTCATTCAATAATTTTCTTCAATTTGGTCGTGTTTTTATTGCTTCTTAAATTTCAACAGATCACACCACTTTGCTGAGCACTACATGGGCGGAGATTATTCTGTTGGCAGCTCTATGTATTCACGAACATCAATTATTTGGTATTCTCACTGAAATTACAAGCAAATATCTTCCAGACACTGAAGAATTATCTAGGTAAGTTATTCAAACTGGTACCTGTGCAATAATTGGAATTACAGGACCCAAGAAAAAAACATAATCCATTCCGAACATATTCTAGAGAGAATATAACTTTTGTGCAAATCATCCTGGGTTACTGAAACTTAAAATCGAACACAAACAGACAGGAGTTCAAATGTTAAATAAATGGTAGTCAAAGGAATAATTATTATACCTGTATTTAACCAATGCTAACATGTCAGTGTCATACTGACTTTTTCACAAGCAAAAAATGTTAAAAAGAATCATTAAATATCTGTTAAAAATTGAGGTTGTTGCATTAATAAAAGATATATTGATAAAAAATGGTCGAAGTCCAGTTATTGTTCTTGTGCACGAAAGTTGTCCATTGGCAGCTTAACTTGTTTTTAAAAATAACAAATTTATAATAAATATGGGAGATGTACTTGCGTCATACCGGAGACCTAAAAATTTATATATGTTTTATGTTCTGTGGTATACAGTTTATCACTTTCATCCTAATGTGTTGGTTTACCATCATAGAGCAATAAGTTCATTATGTACAGAACGAGCTAGGTTAAGTGCGATCCTGAACGAAAATTCTAAAAGGAATAGCAACGAAATTACCATTGGTATCATGTTCTGGTTTGTGGTAGAATGTTGATTATTAACCTTATGTAACTGCTCACTTAAAGGCAGGAAACCCAACATGAATCATATTGAACGAGACTCTCAGTAAACAAATCTTACTGCTAGGTTATGTATTAGCGTTTGCTCATTGTTTAATCTAAATCAGTATTCCAAAATTAGCCATAATATACTGATATACGAACTCGTTTGAAACGAGACATCCATTGGATTTTGATAGTTATTCATGTCCTACAACCTTCTAATTATTTTTTGTGTGATTTCACAATATTTTCGACTGTCATTGCACATTAATATTACATGTCAACATGTAATGTCAAATGTATAGGAGATAATTTTAGATAAGTGTGTTACTGTACTGTTAGTCTGCTTTTCTTTTTCTATCTTTATTATAATGAATTTCAAGACGAATGTTGAAATTGTTATTTTGGAAAATATTACAAAAAAAGGTTCTATTTATGCTGTTTATCTTATCATAGTTCTAAGCAATATTTACTGAATTATTTTAATGAGAAATCAGTTCAAAAATTCAAAATATGTCAAATATCTCAAAACAGCTTTTTCAAGTTTCGCCCAGTTAGATTAAATCCTTCGATACTTGAGAGATTTCACAAAATTGTTTATGCGTTATCTTTTTAACTAACTCAATCAAAAATCATCCATATTTACACTAAAAACATTTGTATGGTACCATCAAAATTCTTGAAGTTTAATAATAATTGAATAGATTTCAAATAACCATTTCACCTAGATTGATCTTCAAAAGATGTATTTCTCACACAATATTATGATAATGATTCAAATTCCGCAACCGTCACAAATATTTGATCAGTTCAGTGTGGTGGTTATGTAAAAATATTTGAACATGCCTTATAAAATGACCTGTTCTAAATTTGAGCAAACAGTATTGGCGTCAACAAGTCGTTCAAGGCTTTTTCGATGGCTCTTGTCGGAATTAATGAATCATTATGTAATGCCCAATATTACTGTAAACAGTAAATGTAGAAGATTCTTTAATTTAGCTGTCCTTTGAGCTTGTAAGCCACATTTTAGGAGAGTGGTAATGTCAATGTTTTAAAAAGCTTTATATTAGTTGTCCATAAAGACCTAAAAAAATTACAATTACTGATTGAAAAAAAAAACTGGTTAAGGTATATTGGGAACTGACTTCAAAACAAAATTGAAATTGTAAACGGACTTTATGGTCACTCTGTATATTGTTGACTACTAGTAACTCATTTTAATGCTATTGCCCTTGCAAAGTGTTTACGGCAATTTCCATTGGTCCTATTATTCTTGACTTAGTAAATTTTCAGTCATTAAAATGATTGAGAGCTTGTCACATATTCCATCTAACGATTTATATAAATGTCTTTGCGTTATTTAAAACAGAAAAGAATTTTGGCTGTCAACCTGCTGAATGATCTGATCAATTTTTCAAGCGTTATTTTGACTCGCTTTTACTGTCGGGATCAATATAGTCTGGCTGGTTTTAAATGTTAACAAAGCAATGCCCATTGCCTTGGTCATTTGCCAGTGAATGGAATGTCATTAATTTTGTCTTACTGTGTGATAAGTTAAATGAAAGTTGAAAATTTTGGTCATTTTTTTACAGACAAAAAAAATATTTTCATAAATATCACTCATAGATCACCCATGGCCAAATTCAAATGAATTACTCCTCTGAAGGCGTTAATAAAGCGAAAGTAATAAAACTGGAATTTATGAATGTAAAACATCATTTGAATTATAAGTAATAAAAATTCAAAATATCGAATATAAATAAATTTCGAAACAAGTAAAATATTCCATTAGTTCTAGAAATCCATGTTCAAAATCTAGTTTATGTGTGCTTGATTTTTTTCTGTAGTACAACAAAAGAGCTAAATTATCAAACTTTTGTATGTTATTTTATATCTCGTTAAATACCACTGACTTTGATTCAACAGTCAATGTTAAATTTGGTTGGTTGTAGCATCAACTGTTTTTGTATGTCGTATTTGAATTTGGTTTTAGAGTCAACTGTTTTTGAATGTTGTATTTGAATTTGGGATAAAAGTACCGGTAATGAATGTAAATTCTGTCAGGATGTTCAAATATTTGCCTCTGATTCGCGCAAGCATCACCGCTGTGGTTAAGCTATCGTAAAATTATATCGGTATCTAATGTCACTAGAAATGTTGTTGAAATATCTCAAGGTTATTCTTGTGTTGGACCTATCTAACATGTAGGTAATGATTAATGAACCTCTACACAAACTCATAGTTCAAATCTATTTTTAAGTGCACAAGAAACATGACTCCGTACTGGGCGTTCTTGTAATTCTCTAATATTTTGTCATATTTTGTTTTAAGGTTTACTGATGTAGAAATGGAGATACTAGAAAGGATGACTTATCTTTATCATAAATTTTCACAATTGAAAGTAGATAAAGAAGAATATGTGATAATGAAAGTGATTAACTTTTTGAATCAAGGTATGTATCAAGTTTCTGTTACTGCTTCGCTTTTTGTACATATGGTCCTGAGGTATTGTTATTTAAAAAGCATATTTTGCAAATTTGGAATAAATTTTTTTTATAAAAGTGGAATAATTTTGGAATTCTCAATCTTTATATATCCAAAAATACTGTTTTTATATTTATGTGGCATTTTATGGCGCTAGCTATTTTTATCTAAAAAATTTTGTTTTTTCTCTGTGGCTTCTATATTCATCTAATTTTTCAGATATAAAAGGCCTCCAAGAAGTTGACCAAATTGAAGAAATAAACAAGAGATATTGGTACGCTTGCCAGAGGTTTACAGAATTACGTGCAATGGAGCGAAACATTGACGGAATTTCTGGTGGTGGTGCAGGCAGATTTAGAGATCTCATGCTATGCTTGCCAGAAATTCGATACGTAGCAGGCAAGATGCTGAACACGGATATTGCAAAATTGCCTCTGCTGTTCAAGGTAGGGTTTCTTGTGTTACATTTAAAAATTTATTGTTGGATCCTAAAGTTTTGCTGAAAGTAAATATTAGATAGAGTTGGCATCCACTGTGCTAGGCGTCCCTGATTTCTAATCAATCTGTATTCTTTCCAGGCTATCCTCCATACCTGTAAGCTCCAGAGGATTCAATCTTCTCGTCAAAACGGAGTTGAACCGCAACATAATGATGACAACGATGAGAATGCAAACAGCAATGGTAACGGCTCGTCCGCTTACGGCAGCAGTGAAGATGCTTCACGAGAAAATACCTCCTCACCACCTCGGGGTTTTATCAGCAATGGCCAATCTTGAGCCAAGCATAAAAGCAGCAAGTCCAAGCGACGTGGACTATATAAATGAAATATTATGCAAATCGTCACTTGAAGTAGTCACAATCGACATGACAAAATTTTTTCCATGAAACCTCAATGAAAAATAATAATGAACATCGCTCTTTAACTTATTATTATTATTAACAAAGAGAGCAATAGTTTGTAAATATGTTACGAAACTACTTCAATATAATAACATCATGTCACTCAGGCTGTATATAATCTCTGTATATTATTATCTTTTTTGTGTGATAATTTGTTTTTTCCTTTTGCTATTTTTTTTTTCGCTCGCCTTAAAAAACCAAGTTTTCTGCTTTATACTCTTTCTGATCAATCAGGGATTATAAATATGATCAGAAAGTAGATTTTAGCATGAAAATTGGCTGTGGTGGTTCCCCTTTTTTACAATTTACAACAAACTAAAACAGAAATTGAAGGATGAATTTTGGATATATTTTTGACAGGACCAAAATTTGCCACAGTAAAAGTCTTGGACATTGACATTTAAATTTAGTCTATGAAAAATAAAAACGTTCAAAAATACATGGTTATCCACTTTTTTTTAAATTGCCTGTGTTATGCATATCATGACCTCTCTAATCTGGTGACACAAACTGCCTCTTGCATTTTTTTAGACCCGTTGTGTTTTGAAAACTGATTCATTAAAGAATGAATACCTCTCTCTCTCTCATGGTTTCTTTTACCAAATGTGCTTATCAAAAATTTTGCTGTAATAAAATCAAAACCAGGAGTTTTGTAACATGGCCAAAAAGGCATTTGACTTTCCAGTAGTCTATACGGTATTACCTCACATTGGCAAATCTTTATAGAAATTTTATGTCTCTAATTATAAAATAGCTACCTCTAGTTATTTGCTTGTATTAACGACCGATTTATGATAGCAAAAGTTTGATCAACGAATACTCCTTCTGGTGCCTTCCTCTGCACCTGTGCTTAGTCTCTTATGAATTCAGACCGTTTTCCAGCCAGTTTGTAAATTTTTTTTTCATTATTTTTTCCTTGATTTTTTTTTTGTTTCTTCAAGCCCACCTCGCTTCAACCAAAGAACCCTGCGTCGCTAATTTTTTAATTATCTTCAATTCTTTTTTTTCATCAAAATTCTCATTACTTTCCAGTTTTTTTTTCTGTTTTGTAGTTATTTCGCAGTCTTCAATTCGTAATCTTAACATACAGTATATTCGTGATTTAACATTACTCCGAAATTATAGAAAAAGGGGAAATAGCGCAACTATGCATACTATTCTATCCCTTTTTGGCACTTGATTGAAACGCCAACAGAATTTTAGTTCGTTAGTTCTCGCGATTTTGAGATTTAAAAATTTGGTTTTCATCAACATAATGCCTCAACCTCTATTACCAGCATTGTGCTACGTCAATAATTTTTTAGTTATTCAAAGTTGTTTTTTTTTGTCTTTTTTTGACAATTTCAACATTTTTGTAGACTCCACAGTTAACGGATAATGTCACCTCTTACTTAAGTTTAAAAACAAAAATTTCTTTCGATTTCTCGTCTGGAGCGATTATGGCAAAGACCAAGAATTTATCTTTTTTTTCAATATAATTGTAATGGAATAGCATTTCACTTATCAAACATATCACCATATCTTATTAATATGTAAAAGCATCCATTTAATCAGAAAAAAATAGTAATATAATAAAATATCATTTTTTTTGCCATTTTTTTCTTCCTCAAGGGGGGAGTTTAATTATTGTCTACCTCATTTTTTGTTATCTTTCTCTACATCATCCCAAGAAAGTCTTTGTATACTGATCTTCCTTAACCGAATATGGGCTGGTAGTGAATTAAACCACATTCGGTTAGTGAAGTTCTGTTGGAGAGTGGAATCACTTTGAAGGGCTTCAGAATGTTTTAGTGGGTCTTGTGTAATTTGTCGAAATATTATAATATTGAGAGAGTACAAAATGTACTAGGATTTCTGTATGTGACGGTAGGGTCGAGAATCTGGACCAGATGAAAAATTCTTAAAGCCTCCCAAAGTTTTAAATATTGTTCATCGGATTTTTGCTCCCAAGATAACTTACTAACTTTAAAAATTGTCTGACCATATTAGGCACCTGCCCGGTTGTGGTTATGTAAAAATCTCGCTTCGAGCAAAGCTTCATTTTTGATAATAAACTTCGATCGATTTTTGTTATACTACAGTAAATACTGCTTCAAACTATGATTGTATGCCAACCTTAAGAGCACTTACCATTTTGTGATATCGTAAAAACCAAAAAAAAATTTGAAATTTTGACATCCACATTTTCGGCCTCGATTTATGCTTCTGCAAAGTCTCTCAAAATCAAACGCTGGTACAGATTCATCTGCGCTACAAATCTCTGGTTGGATCCTCGACCCTATCGATATAATAAAGTGGTATTGAATGGTTACTTTATCTTGATATTTAGTGGGAATGACCTGTATAAACAAGTGATTAGTATAAACAAGTGATTGAAGACTAATAGTGGATGGAATAAAAAAACTATTCTTCGGTATTCGTTTCTCTATTGTTTTGTGGGATGGGTGACCTGGGAGCATTATGGAAATTTACGGGTTTGGAAAAACTTGATTTCATTACCACTTGTACCTGTTATCAGCGCCGTATCTACACAGTGGTTTGAAGGGGCGGACCCATCTCCCTTTTGAAATGTAAAAAAACATTCTCCTGTATGGTACATAGCAATTTTTGTGGCTTGAAAAGCTTCTTGGGGTCTAACTTGGCAATTGGGCAAATCTTTATACTTTTCTGATGTATAGGACGTGCTCTAAACCAGATTTGCGGAACTTTTTAAATGTTTGCCCAACAGCTGATATTTGACAAGCTTCAAGTTACATTGAATTGGGCGTATATCAAGTTTGTAAGTGGGGGGCATGCTGGTGTTGATACAATTCCGGTGGTCAGTGTGCACACGTTCTTGGAAACTCACAAGGGACAACTCAACTAATCTTCCTGGTCTCTGATGAGTCCTCTGTGCAGACGAGTTGTCCGTCAGTCTCTGACAACATTGATATGGCTGTGAATTGAGCTGCACTTTTTGATAAAACTATTCTAATTTGTTCCTCCAAATCCAAAAAATAACTCCGTCAGCCTACTGAAATGCGCTCTAATCGATGTCATGACCTCTTTGCCATATTTCCCATAACATAAAGGCGCATTTTAACACACAAATCACAGAAAATTAGTCTTCGTGAGTATTTTATACCATGCCGTATTTCTGTTTTTCTGTGTCGCTGGCCTTTTTGTTTTTCGTAGAAGCCTTTTCAAACAGGCTTCATGTTAACCAAACCTCTGGATTCCGGCCCTAAACTATTGGTCGAAGTATGCTAAAAAGTAAACAATGATATTGATTTGAGTTAAAGTATCTGTGGAACTCAATGAAAACAATATTTATTCATGATCAAAAGTGTATTATTTAATATAAGTAACGAGATTCAGTAAAAACATGATTCTACCAGTAATTACTACAATATACACACAGTAACAAGATATAACGCAAAATTTGTTTTAGGATTTGGCACACATAGGTAATAAATGTCAAATCTCATTAAACATGATAACAAAAAATAAAGTGAAAAAAAATAAAAAACTATTCATAAATCAAAAATTTGACATGGCAATATGTTCCCCAGATGTACTTTTTAGGGGGGACTATTTGTAACTTATAAAAATGTTTTATGTATTTGACTGAGCATATAAGCTTTCTGGATATTCGAATACAAGTAAATTTTACGTTAAGAATTATGGTGTGGTGTCAGTGTCACACCTCAAAATTAGGGTGGGGGTGATAGACGCCTGATATTTTAGGGGGTGTGTAGGTAAATCACTTTATGTACATATTGGGATAATATTCTACTGCTTCACTGCCATTGTTCAGTCATTGTTATAGTTCATTCGTCCTCATGACAAGCATTCAAACATTTTAGGTGCGTTGTGAAAAATGCCATTAGTATGTGATTCCAAGTTGCTGAGCCAAGAAATTGTCAATCTGAAGATGTTTCACGGGTTTTACCTGCAAAAATGGAACAATTGTCAATTTTTGAGGAAGTAATGGATGTGACATGGTTTATTCTTTCATATAAGCTTAAACTACTATATGTAAATTGTCTCTGTAGGATTGCTCTAAGTGAATTTGTGTTCCTTCCTCTGAATTTGGCAAATTTCTTAAATGGATGAGGGGTTCCAATCCATGAAGATTTATGCCAGCGACGCCTCACACCTTTAAACTTGGAATGACACAATAGTAGCTTCCTGCATATCGTTAGATCGTCAGGGCTGCTTGGACAGCGCCTTGTTTGGAGTGCATAGGCATAAAATAAAATTCCACTGTGAATAAATGAGAACCGAATGCTGATTTAGAACGAAGTACTTTGAACAAATTAGTTTCATCTTACTGTTTGTGCCGAATGCTCTTGCTCATTTACAAATCTGAAATTTCTTCTGAGAGGATCTAATGATGGCCTACTCCATGTAGACAAAGATGAATGTCTTCGTGTTAGTTCTGCAGAATGCAATATTAAAATAATGAATACCACGGTATCTTCAATATTTCCTGATTTGTTTAAATGGAAAACCAAATGCAAAAATACAAATATCCAGCTAAAGATAATTCATTAAATGTTTAATGTTCTATTATCCATTTGCCATATTTACCGTACTAACTGTTCAAAAGAGGAACTCTGAAGATAATTTTTCCACATAAAATTTTGAAATATTATGAGAAAATTTTTTTCAGGTTACACCTCGCCATATTCCCCAATCTGTTTAACACTATTCAGAATAGAAACTGTCAAATTTATGTGAGATTTGTCCAAATAAGACAAGTGTGAAAATAGCCCAATTGAAAATAGCCCAATTGTTACCAAGTATAAAAAATAGCCAAATGATGGAACCCCCAAAAAAACATATTTATTAGAATGATTTTGAATTTCTCTCAAACAAAATCATCAGGAATAAGAACTCACATGATAAAAACTACTTTTCAACTATATGGTGATTCAAAAAACAGAACCCAGGTCATCTGGAACATAATCTAGAGAAAACATAACGTTTGTGCAAAGCATCCTAGGATACTGAAAAATTGGATACAATAATACGCAAACAGGGAGTTCAGGTGTTGATCAATTTTTTTCATTTTCGTACAATTAATTAAGAAATTTATGGGTTCCGTTTTTTTGGGTCACCCTATATGAAGCTCTCAATTTACCTTCCGAGATCGGTTCTTTAAACACAGATTTGACTTCTCTGATTTCATCTTCTTCTGTTGAGAATTTTCCAACTGATATTTTAGAAAATTTTGACATTGCTGAAGAAACTTTGAACAAGAATTTGTCAAAACTTAAAATCAAAAATAGTGCTGCACAGAGTATGGAACTAAGATGGACTGTGCCTCAAAAATGTGCCCATTACGGTAGGTTGTTTATATCTAGCTGGCAGTTTTATTACCTAGGTCCAGTAATGTTTTCATATGGAAAGCCACATGAACTGATGTCAGGATAAGAATTCGGGTACAGAGGAAGTATTGTTAAAACTTTCATATTTATTCCGGGGAGAGGAAAGGCATATGGTGTACCACGACCTTCAGTCTGGTTACTAATTCATGTCGGGTATGGGGAAATAATATACAGTCAGTTATTTGTTTCAGATGCGAAGACTTCAGAGTGGAAAAAGGCATAACTGACCATCAGTTACATGATCCACTCTACAGAGATGAGGAGTCCAACAATCCTCTCACACAACAAAATTCGAACCTAAGAACAAACACATTGGAGCTGCGATGGCAAGTGCATGGCATTCATAAAGCTTAAAACGATGCACCAAATGTTACAAAAGCAGTAGCGTAAATTTACCTGGATAAGTCATTGTACTCGAAGGCTTCTCCAGATATTCTCGCCTTGGATAAAATCTTAAAAATAAACAGTGACATTTTACCATGTGAATATAGTAAGAAATATTGACATTACAAGTTTTAATGACATGTTTCTGTTGTTGTGACAACCCAAGAAAGCAATGTTTGCGTTATTCTTCTGAGCAAATTTACATAAAGAAGAAAATTAAAATTTACAAAATGTTGTTCTAAAAATTTCACAGCATTAACCTGTCAAAATAACTGATGGAATTATTCTCTGTATTTTCGTTATGTCGCTCTTTCTTCTTAACATGACTCAGCATTCCAACTCTCATCAGCAACTTATCTCTTGTTGTGATAGAATGTTTATTTCCAAACTTTTTTTCATCAGGTGGTAGAGACTGTGCCATGGATGAAGAATCTGAATCAGTAGAAGAAATAGGGTTACCATCCGTAGGAGGTCTCCACCCTAAGAGTATCTATCATACTATAAAGCCATTGTTCCCAAACTTTCAAACGGTGGCCCCTTCCCAAAGATCTTTAAATTCAAAACTTGACTGCTTTTTTATATAGTTTTGCTGATGCGATTTTATCATTTATTAATGTACGATGTTTAATAATAATAAAAACAACGAACAGAAGCAAAAGAATAAATGCATCACAGTCAAAGAATTACGGTACAAATCACAGTCCAGTTACTTTGAATTAAAGCATTCAACGCGATTGGTACCTGCCTTTGTGACCCCCAAAGGTACTCTCCAATGACCCCCTCGGAGGGCCGAGAATTGCAGTTACGAATAATTTGAATTGTATCTTTTTCAGAAAAATCATGAAATATGTCAAATGATCTAAATTGAGAGTTTGATGCAGAAATGGAAAGCGAGCAGGTTCCCAAATGAGAAAAAAGTCGTTACTTGCAATTTCATCCCTTATAGTTATACAACCATTTTTCCTCAGGGGTCAAGTTTTTTTTAAGCAAATTTAACGTTATCAAATGGTTAAAATATGTGAATAAAGTATAGGGTGACCAAAAAAAAACAGAACTCAGGTCAATGGAACATATTCTTAACGTAACATAATTTTTGTGCAAAGAATATCCTAGATTACTACAACTTTTGGGTACAATCATACACAAACAGAAGCTCAAGTGTTAAATAATTATAAAATTCATGACTTCTGTTTTTGAGTCACCCTGTACACTACAGATAAAATATTTGATTGCATTCCTTACCAATCTTGACACGTGTCTTAGAAGAAATATTACTGATTCTTGAACATGCAGAAACAACTCTTGAGCCAGATTTTGAGTTGACGTGACTTGCCGAACTATATGGTCTCATACTGGTAACAGACATCTGCATGGAAAAAATACAAGAAATTTGATCAAGGTAAGGTCGAGTGTGCCCACTCATCATAAATATAGGAGATTGATCTCTGAGCGAAGTTACGGCGATCACCAAAGTGCCACAGGATTCTGAGACTATACAATTGGTTTGTTTAAATTTGAAGACACACATGGCCAATTTTGTATTCCAAATACATTTTAAAACGGGGGCCTGCGCCCTGGCTGGCCCACCGAAGTGTTTCATCAGGGCCACTTGTGCCTGTTGAATTTACAACTATAATTTTTATGGATATAAATTTCTGTTGAAGATATCGATGAAAATAACAAATCGTTGGCCAAAAGTAAATTGCTATTGCAACGGAACAGTAAATGTTATCGAAGCTAGTTATTTGTAAGTAAACTGTTTTTCATTCACAATTTCATCGAGTTTTAAACATCCGGCCCAGTAACGAAGTTCATTATCTGTAAGTGGCTCCCTTAAAAAAGTAATTGCCACCTCTGTTCTAAAATAATCTTTTCGAATATGAATTTCGAATGTATTTGATTATTCAGATCGTTTGGGACATCCCTGTCTTTGCAGATAACGGTAGGCAAAATTTGTAATAGGTATTCATATTCCTCTGGTAGTATATTCAAACTACCGTACTCACTGTTGTGTTGCTTCTAGGACGTCTAAATTCAGGTTGTAAGTCAATATAATGTGATGGTGGTCTAACTCCAGGAGCAGAATGGATAAATGGTTTTGTGATGTCTTTCTTCATCCACTTCGGTGGAGCACTTGACGTCCTATAGAATTATTTAGAATTTCAGATAAAGCATTTCAAACAATTTTCAGATAACAGTTTTTTTACATGATTGTGTAGTCTGGGAAATATTTACATCTCAATCTGGAAACGAACTTGAATTCATTCAAAACGTGACTTTGACTCCAGCTACGAGAAAACCAAATTTTGTATGCTAAACTTAGTTAATGATCTTTTAATATTTATGATTATCGAAATTTCTACTTCCTACTTTCTCTCGGGCTCTGTTCCACAAATCTGGCGAGTTGAATCCGATTTCAGCGAACACATTCACGTTTTCCATTTTTTACAAACAGACACAATTACCTTTGGAATATTCTTTGGTCTGCTGAATTAGTAAGATTGAATCTGTTTGCCCTGTTAACTGAATGAATTGTTGATAATATAGGTCGTTTTGAAAATACTCTAGCATGTTGATGAGTTTCAGTATTAATTTGTCCAGGTGATGAATTGTATTCCAAAGTGATAGGTTCAAAATGCATGACGAGACAATTACTGCAGGTGTTTACAAGTAACCTAGAAAGGATAAAACTAAAGGATTAGAAAATTTCAACAAGGTGATATATTGTTTGAAAAAACCAAGATAATCCAGGTTAACAGAGCCATACATGTAACATATAGGACTGGGAATTTCAGTGAGAGCACTTTAACCGTTAACCAGGCAAAATTGACTATTGGCATCGGAAGCGAAGTATGAATAAAAATTACCTCATTTGATGAGGATTAATGGAAAAATATGTCCTATTTCATTATGGTTCTAAAGCAGTTTGGCATGATATTTCCTTGGTGTAACTGAAAATTGTGTATGGTTCAGAAATTTCCTTCTAGTAAATTTCTCTGCTCGGTTTCTTTTTTGCAGAAATGCAAACTGATTTGAATATCCGGAGATATTTTAATATCGATTTTAATACTGGCGATAGCCCAGCAATCTTTCACATAAGGAATTCAAACTCGCACAAGGTAATCATAGCGCATAGCACTTGTGCCAAACAACTGTTGATTATCATAAGCAAATATCAGCAGGTTATAAATTGTGTGTGCGATGGTTACAGGAGAAAAATTATTTAATTCCTCCCTGTTATAGAATAGATAACATAGTTTGGGAAAATGAGTATGAATCATTGTATGATTATGCCATCATATTATCAAATCTATTCTATTCAATATCAAAATTGGTAATTATCTTCTTTTATATGAAGGTCAATTACCGCTATGATCGTTTGTCATTATCATCATTATACAAACCATGTTACATTAGAATTCCTTTTTCTTTTTTAAGTCAAATTTTACAATTCAAATTCCAAGTAGAATATTTGAAAACAATTCGTATTACAAAATAAAACCAGCTAGTATACAAACAGTTTCTCCTAGTTTAAAAAAAAAGCATTTCTCAGCACATAATTATTCATTAGTATACCATTCTCTCACCTATCTTCTGTTGCAAATATATTAATTATTGGATCACATTGACTATTTCCTCTCAAAACTCTCAAACAATCACCAGATAACATATTAATGACACGTATTTTTCCATCAGCACATCCAGTAATTGCACACATGTATCGTAATTCGATACATAACACAGCCCTGAAAGTAAATACTTCAAGTTGAGTTTTCAGAAGTTTTTTACCATTTTTTAATTCCAAACAAGTAGTATATTCATATTATTTGGAAGGACCGGGATCTTTTAGTTTTTGCATTGGCCACCCCATCTTACTACACCTTGAGTGAGTTGGGACCTTGGGATTTGAACCCAAGATGTTTGATTTGCGTTACCATCAGAGTTAAATCTTAGGATATGATCATTGGCCATCACGTCGCCTTGATTGTGAAAGTTATAAGTGTAAAAAATTGGTTGGGAAATGCCATAACGCAAACATTCTGAGCATTATAAAAGGCATACAGCTGTGTGCATTTAAATATCTGCAATATCTTCACTGCAAATATATGTTAAATGTTCAATCTATATATGGTAATGGAGAGCCACAACATTTCTGACTATATAAAGGTTAAGCAAATCTAAACAGAGTAACTTCATAATAGAATGAAATCCTGTGTTATGGGTATCTCCCAAGTCCCAGTGTTTGCACAAGGTTATACCTGGTCTCTATCACTGATTTTTGATATAGACCAATAAAAGTGTAAATTTTCTAAAGCAGGAGTGTGCAACATTTTTTGTCGGTAAGCCATATATCCAACTTCAGACATCTAGCCGGGCCACAAAAAAAAAATTAGTTTGTTTACACAGCCACATTCACACCCCTGTTTAAAAGGCTTATGAAATAATAAAATATGCATGCCAGCAAACCTGTGCTGAAGGTATGCAAAATATTCGTACTCCTTATTCAAAGTGTTCAAAATATGCTAAGCAATATGGCAAAATACCCAACCATATTCCAATGTACAACGTACTTTGGATGTCTATAGGACTTGAGGCAAATGCTCTGTTGTCCAGGCATACTCCATAACAATAAATAATCGTCGTTCCCACCACTCAGTAAAAAATAATCATTGAAACGAACACAATTCACCTTCATTCCACCATGGTTTTTCAGAACCTAAAAAAAAAGTAAAAATTTATTTTTCTATAAAATTTGAAATAATTATACTGAATTCATGATGCAATATTTCAAAAGCCTCTTGCCAAACTATTAAATTATAAAAATTCATAGTCAGTAGCACATTTCACTTATTACTAGACTTAGATGTCCAACAAAAATGACAGGCAATATGGTAATTGTTACGACACCCCACAAATAAATGAACAAAATGATTTTTAAATTTTTATTCAATAAAGATGGAAAGAGCCTCAAATGCTATAACTGCATGAAGCATTGTTCCCAGGGTTTGATTGTTAGATCATTATTAACTAATTTTTTCTATGTGACACTAATTCACGCCTTCTTCTCTGAACAAGGCCTTATAGAAGAAGCCACAGATATCTCACAATATCTAAGAAGCTATCATTATTTGGAAGGCTGGAATCTTTTCGGTTCGGCATCGACTACCTTGACCTTGTAATCTAAATGCCAACAAAGTTAAGGCTTTAACAGCCTCAGTGCCACCTAAATAATCTATATCACTCATTCAAAACAAAAAATGAGATAAAACAATTGGGTCTCAACAGATGGTACATCGGGCTGAGCGCTAGGAATACAATAACCCTTAATGGATATTGATTACCTTTCATCAATTCACAGGTACGAATCCCTAGAATATTCCTGTAAAAAGTTTACTGGCTCAAATCACATATTAGATGCTTAGGCGCTCCAGAAGTGTACCATTATGGAGGTAACTAATTTTGTGACATCAAATTATGTAAAGGGAATGAATCCTATGGTCTGGGGGATATATTCACTTGGCTAACAAAGACAGTCCCCGAACTCGTAATAGCACTAAAATAAGGAAAATCAAAATAAAATTATGGCTTAACTCGAACCTGGTATACACACTACGAGAGTACCGATGATTATGTGTCGAAGTATTTCGTTTGTTTACTTTTTAATTAATATTTTCCAAACTAGTTTTCACCTTCACCATTTTTCTTGTCTTCAAATTCCAAACTTTCACAAGACCTTTTTCACATGAACTAACTATCGTATCTTTTCTCATTTGCACACAAGTTACTGAGAATTTTTTGGAATGTTTGAAGGTACAAGTACATGATCCAGTTGCTGCATTCCATACTGTAATTTAATAACAAGTAATTTACCGGTTGTAAAAAAATAGTTTCGAAATGTAAGAAACAAAACTGGAGTCTATGACAAATATTAGGAGTTAAGAAATGGCCAGGAATTTACAAAGGAGGTTCTAAAATTGCTAATTGCCAAGTTAGGTCGTAACAGCTAACGGGTTATGAAACGTGGGTTTTCAAGAGTTTTGAGGGGTCTAAAAAGCGTTTCAAGTCGTTTTTATTTTTACATTTCAAAAGGGGAGGTTCCCACTCGCTCCCACCCCTATCAATGACTAAGAATCAAGGCTATATACCTAGTTCCGGCTTCTAATACCCGAAAAACAAATTTGGACCATGGAAAACATTCACGAATGATATTTAACAATATATAAGAAGACTTTATTACAATGAATGGATTTGAACTTGAGATGCGTAATTTGCGTTGCCAACACTGCTAACAAGTCGCTGTCACTGCCAGGCCATTGTGCCCCCCAACTCCGATATCAATCAAACATTTAAAACTTCGATCTTGACCCCGTATCCCTGTTACGGTCCCTAGTAAGATAGTAGCTCTCTCTCAGCAGTTTAAAATCAGTGAATAATAGCTGATTCAATTATCTCGTACTTTTCACAAGACCATCTCGTGCTCCAGATACAAGTAAATCACCAAAAAGATCAAAACTGGTGATTGAACTTCTATGTCCATGCATGATCAATTGACATGATCCAGTGTTCATGTTCCATTTTCTAAATAAAAAAATTAATAAATAATAACATATAATAAATTTATCACAGACTTTTTAATGGCACTGTCAGGTTCGAAATTTTCTAAAGAAGACAGTCCATATGTTGGTATAATCATACGATAACTATGATTTTTCATCTACTTCTCATCTTTGGTAAATTAGTCAACTCAACAATAGAGACAAATAGACATAAACATCCGAAACAAATAATTGGCTAATTAATTCCATACACAACATGGCCTGGTAACCAGAGGAGAAGCCATGGTATGCCATATGAATAAGCCATTTACTTTTTTTTTTTATCTCCCCTAATATAAATATAAAAATCCTATCTTATCCTAGTTAACTGTTTGTTCAAACATATATAACTGGCCTTCATTTTACAACGGCAGCTGAATCATCATTTCGAATGAGATTCAATTCCTGGATTTACAGCACATGACACTGTGATCAGTAGCATGGCATAAAGTAGTTTCAATTACTTAATCAGCCAACAGAAACTCTTTCAACATTTTAAGAAGTCTTTAACATTATAGTGTAAATATGGAACAGGGGTGTTCAACAAGCAGCCCACAGGTCGCAACCCGGGCCGCCAATCCATTTAGTGTGGCCCTTGTCAACTCTCATCTTTTTATCCATCAAACATAAAATCCATATTCGACTGTTTATATTTAAAAAGGCCCTAATATGGGTAGATATACATAATGTATTCTTGCTCTTGTCGTTGCATTCAATTTTGTATTGTGATAATTTTTTTTTAAATTTGTTGTGTATATGAAAAACTTTTTTGTATGGTCCAGCTAGATGTCTGAAGTTGGTTATATGCCACCAACAAAAATTGTTGCGAACCACTGCTCTAGAATAATGATTTCCATCAGTACAGCCAAGGGGTTGCGCAAGTTTATATTCCAATATGGGAGTCTATATCATTATATGTCTATAATTTAAATATACTCAAATACCCATTAGATTTCCCACTATTATTGTACTTGCGACACTTTAAATATCACTCAGTTTTGTCAGTATTAGGTTCACTTTTATATATAAATATAAGTGAACAATGGGGAAAGACCTGCAGTTCAATACACAATATATTAGTGCTTTCTGTTTTTGAAACTATTTGAATATTTCTACAATTACCTGATTGTTGTGTCATAACTTCCACTAAACACAGAACCTTGTTCTTTTGTGCCCATGTATAATGAAGTTATGGATGCCGGATGTCCTTGCATGATTGGTTTCTTTTCCCTTCCTAGGAGTAAAATAATTCATTTATTATATAGCCTACTATGTCTGAAGACACTCTGGTATGTTTTTGAGATAGATAGCTAAAGCTTGCATGATGGACAAATGAATTTTTGTTTTGATGTAGTCTTTTGATTTCAGCTTGATTTTTGGGATCTTCATAACGCCTATAAGTCATTTTAATCACATGACAAGCCACGGCCTCCAGTCAATGTCAATGTATGAGAACAGTAAGCCAGTTATTTGTTTCAAATGTATGGACCTGATGGTGGAGGAAGCCGTAACCAACCTGTGATTAAGTCTTGAAATGTTGTAACTGAACAAACCCTATACACAGTACAGTATATTTCCTACTTTAGTCCACATTATACGGACTATTAATTATAGCATACAATATAAAATAGTTTGTGGGCTAGGCGGTTGGCGCATCGTGTTACGTGTCGGGAATACGCTTGCAACCGCATCTTTGATTGTGCGAGTGTTAGAATTCTGTGGAGGATAATTATGTGTGAATGGATTGATGGACTCTCTATTGTAAGGTGGTTCCCATAATCACTGTTCAGTTATGTTTTGCTCCAAAATCTGGTTCATGCATCGGAAATATCATACATGGACTGGGAATGGGACGAGAAGCCATATGATTAAGTCGTTTTTTCCTTTCCCTGGGACAATCCCATACCTGATGACACGTCCACTGTTCGCACTATCTTATCAGCGAAACCAATCACAAGATTATCTTCTCCCGCATAACTGATAACACGATTTGCATTTGATCTGTAAAGCAGCAAAATTCAATGTAGTTATTCATTCTGATAATGCACCCAATTTCATCAACAAAGGTTTCTAAGATTCTGGGATGGATTAATTTTATTTGAGTGTACCTTATGTGGTGAACAATAGCTTATTTTGACTGTATTGTTATTGAAATTGCAAGTAATTGACAAAACTTTAAATAGATGATTGGATCAGTGAATGTATATATGAGATGCTTTATACTTATAGTGAACCAGGCCCTGAACAAGCCACTTATGTAGAAATGCAGCAAGCATGTAATAACTATTTGTTGAAACTTTTCAAAGCATTATATTCTACTATGATGATATTGCAGGTTAAAATCTCAGATTCAAATCCGATGCCCACCACCTGACCCATAGCAGCTAGCTTGACCAGGGGCCATAAATTTTGCCCACCTAGGCTGGAGTGCCATGTAAGTGTGACGTAAAAGTTACATGTCATGAACAATATTCACTGTGTTACAAAAGCAAAAGTGGAAAACAATAATCCTCGTGCCAAAACTAAATTTAATCGCAATCTCAAGAAATTCCCTTGAACCATTTTTTATTTAAATATGCAATATTTAGTCCTAGTTTGGTTGTTGCAGCATCAGACGGGCCAGATTGAATTACCCAATGGGCGGGATTTAATCCACAGGCCGTAGTTCGCCCATGTAAGAGTTAGCTCCCTTTCTTGCAATGTCTGCTTGTACAGAGCCTTTGGAGCAAAATGCATTTCAATATCATGTATAAATAAGCGTACAAATTTGTTGAGTTGCGAGATTGGTATAATACAGTCTAAAATAAATAATTCAGATCAGCGGGACTGAATAAACAAGAAATTCCAATAACCATTGTATTATTGTTAGTTATGTAAACATCAAATTCATTTTGACGTCAAGAAAATTTTCTTATTTTGATGTATTGGTTTCAATATCAATGTTACTCAAATATTTTATAGAAGCAGAAAAAATTTTTTGTGAAAAAAATTTGTTCCAATTGAGGTCACGGGCACTCACTCAGAAGCAAAGATGACTTATCTCTGATTAAGTTACATGCGACCACTAAAGTGACAGGCATGAGGTATTGAGACTAGAGATTTAAGTTGTCAAATACATTGTAAATAATAAATTGCGAAAGTGAAAGAGATATCATGTAGGGTTGAAATTGTACAGCAGTTCACACACCAATATAATTCTCTGTAGCCTATGTAAATATTAGCATCTCTGTGGCTGCCTGTAACTTTGCTCAAAGTTGTATCTCCTTTGCTCCTGTGTGAGTAGGCCTACAGATGACCTCGATTTGAGTGAATATTTTTAAAAAAATCCAACCATTTGATCGAAGGACTGCAAATTAATTTACGGTACATTCAACTATTTGATGTTACATAGGCGTCAAATTTTCCCTACACAATATGATTGTTACAAAACAATAAACAATAGGTTTCAAGTCACGCTAAGCCAAAAACATGAAATGGATTTCTTTGTTTCGAAAAACAACAATGGCAGATAGTTTATAATGAAACCGTTCTATGTTTTGACAAAATATCGATAATGTTTTTCGTGAAAGTGATCTATTATGATCGAATAAGTATGATTTATAGTTGAATCAAGGCGATAACGCTTGATTCAACTATAAATCACACATAACCAAACATACTCCAGTGATTAGCATATTATGTATCGTTATGGTTTTGGATAAGTGAATATGAAATAATGTTGAAATTTCCTTCAATGGTTTTCAAGGCAAAAACATATGTCAAATCACTGTACTTAAGATATTCTCAAGAAAGGAAAAAACAATCGATACAAAACACTTTAAAAGCGTAAGAAGTCATCTTCAAATCATACAAGAGTACTCTGTTTATTGTCTGATAAATATGACCTTTTCCACATAGTTTAGGGGCATCTTCGAAATTTGAAAGCCAGTTTTTCAAAATAAAAAAACATGACATATTACTGTTACTATTTTGAATTGTTAAATAAAGTTAAAACTAGATTCTCTTCCCTGAAATAATATTAATTTGTATTTAAATCCTCGAACACATTTTTAACATCATTTTTCAAAGTTTATTTGAAATAAATTGGAAATTTAAACAATCTGTATTAATTTTAATACTTTGTGATAAAACTTCAATAAATTTCAATATTGAAAGTAATAAATCAAAATAGAATTTTCTTGACGTCAAAATGTATTTGGTGTTTACATTACAATCAATAATATAATAGCTATTGGAATTTATTGTTTATTTTGTCCATTGATCTGAGTTATTTATTATAGATTGTATTGTGCGATAAAAATCTAGCAGTTAGGCCATTTTGTGATCTCATTGTTTTTGCTCTCCTCGGATAGACTTTGAGATATCTTTATTTGTATGTATAACTGAATATTCGATATTTCTCGATTTCGAAAATAATTCAGAATGTTTTCATTTGCAAATTTGCCATCTTGAGCATTTGACCTATTATGATTGTCTGACGAAAAATAAAATCATATTTTTATTTCCTACATTTTAAAAAAGAGAAATTGAACCAAATTTAATTTATGTAAATTCATAATGGTTTGTGTAAAATTCTCTTTCAAAAGTGATCCTTTTAAAAAAATGTTCTATATTTCGTATTTAAAAATATTATTCAAGATTGTTATCAGAATAGTGAATTTTTCAGTTTGTATAGGGGTGTCCCAAAATAAATGATACCCATTAATTCAATTACCAATTTTGTCGGTTTCATTTATTTTGGGACAGCCTTTATATTGATTGAAAATCTACTTATACGTCACCCATATCCAGTTTTACAAGCTAATATTTAAAAAAAATTCACAAATTTAACATGCATGCGGTAGTTAGTATATTTCAGATATCTTCCCAAATCTAAGTACTATACTAACCTTTGATCAAGTACAAGTAGATTGTAAGCTCCACAATAAACATTTCTTTCCTCAACTTCAACAAATTTTGTTTCCAATCCGCGATATATTGATTCAAATAATTGTTCTTGGCCATCACGCCTCGGTGTGATAGCAAGAACATCGGCATCTGTTAAGAAGATAAATTTTATTTTAAAAATCATTCAAACTTTTGAAGGACAAAAAAATCACAGATACTATTTTTCGCTCCAAACAAGGCTCTGCATCAGCAGGACTGGATGTGAGGAGCTACTTTATCTTTGGAGGACCAAAATATTTTCAGTTCAGCATTGCCTACCCAATTTATTACCCAATTTGGATTTGAATCTGACACGGTCTAACTCTTCAATTGCTTCCAAGCTTAGTGGCTAGGGTACCAAATTAACAAAAGCAATCACCAATTTTACTTTACATATAGTTTTTACAAAATAAAAAAAAAATAAAACTTTATAATTTGGAATAGTCCTTTTAAGAAGGAATCTTACGGATACTTTTCTTGACAATATCTTGAGTCACTTCATCAACAACTGGAACAAGAACTTTCTGAATTTTTGCATAATTTGGATTCGAACCTTTTGCAGACACTCCCTGGAATAGAAAAATGTTTTATAATTTGAAAACATAAGCTACTTACAATTGACAGTTGGTGCATCATGCAAAGTATTAAAAATATGATTGCCATCAACCTCTGATTGACCTGCATGGTTCGAATACTGCGGGGATAATTATGAGTGAGAAGATTGCTGGACCTTACGTCATAGGCTGTTTCACATAACTCCTAGTTATGCCTTTCTCTTCTTCTTATTATCTGCCTTGTGCTACTGAATAAATTTGATCAAATAATCATACCTGCATTAAAATTGCTTCTTCTTTAATAATTTGCAGAGAAAATTCATCTTTGCGTACTTGGGATACTAGTTGGTGCCAACGGGAATGAACCAGTGCACAGCTAGACAGATCTGATCGTGAAAGCATACCTTGAAAATGTAAAAAATTGGTGAGTGTGAATTCCAATATAGGAAGCAGAAAATAAATAATCCGATTAGTTTTATGCCTGCATATCTGACTTGGGCAAACTATGGCACATGGGCCAAATCCACCCTGTTGGGTAATTCAATCTGGCCTGCCTGATGCTGCCACAACCAAACTAAAACCAAATTTTGATGTTTTAGCTAAAAAATAGCTCAAGGAATTTGTTGAGATTAAATTTAGTTTTAGCACAAGGCTTATTGGTTTCCACCTTTGCGCATTTGTAACATTCTACACATTGTTCATATAATGTAACTTTTTTATGTCATACTTACATGGCCCACCATTCTAGTTGGACATAAATTTTGGCCCCTGATCTAAAAACCCCCGAGGTATACACAAAAGGTTATCAAACATCGACCCAAGACTATGAATAAAAGCGCCAAAATGAGCCTACTTGTACCCCATTTATCCGACATCTTTCAACACAGTTTTTGTTGAAATTTTGTGAAAAAATATTTCAATTTTTGAGAAAATATTTTTATATATATTCATTTTTATTTAAATGTATAAACAAAAAAATAATACCCAAAATATTTTTTGATAAATGTACTGGCAGAAGTCCAATGAAATCACGACACGGTGAAATCCCGCTCAATGCAGAATAAGATGTTGATATAAGACAAGGTTGGTGATCATCATGAATTGAGGTATCAATGGATGAAATGTCCTTCTCATAATGAAATCGATTATGCTTTCTGATGGTAGGACTAGACTTTTGATGACTAACATTGCTATGAGTGTCAGAATGCGGTGATGACAAATCCATATCGCTGTAAATAAACGATAAAAATTATTTATATTTATTAATTATAGCTTTCTGAAGAATATCGATATTCTGCATGCTAAAAAATTTTTGTGTGATTATGAGCGATTTTTGAACCCTTCAAATGCTGAGATTAAGACCGAATAATTACATCGCATATTATTTTCACAGATTTAAACTTTTTTGCTCTGAACAAGGCCGTGTGGAAGCAGTTACATAAATGTAGGAATCTAGCTGTTTAGAATAACTGAAAACTTTAGTTTGTTATGGCAAGTAGTATCTATCTCTATTGTGACTGTTTCCTATACACAGCATTTAAAATAAAAAAAAATAAAACATTTTTGATGAATTCAATATGTAAACATTCAACCATATATTAGTATCTTTAACATAATCCTGTTAATTCTCGGAGTGCACTCATCAAATTGCCATGGCGCCCCTTTGGGGACTGCTATACTAGGCCATTACGCCCTGGATTTTCTCAAAATAAATACAAAGAAATGACCTCGCAGGCACCTTACCCATATTCTGAAACAACAGCTGCAAGTTGATACAAATCAGGATGTTCATCAGTATGATAACTAAAAACTGAACTGTTGATTGAAGCTGCGTCAGAATCATCAGCTGAAATATAATATTTAGTCAAGATAAGACAATAAATGGGAGAATTATCGTGGAAGAGAAGGAACCCTATAACACAGCTATACTAGTTAGGTATGGTAATATCTTACCAGCTTAGTAATTATGTCTGATACATGGATTTGCATGATAGCAGTAAAAATAATAAAACTAATAATCAATTATCATTATCAAAACCATTGAGAACATACTTTTATTTAAGCTGGTGTCAGCTCTTAATAAGGCTATAAACAAGAATTGGCTCAGATAAATATAATACCATAAACAATATACTACATTTTCTGGCGCTCCAGAAGTGTGTGTATCAAAATGGGGGTAACTAATTTTGTTTGCCTTCTTTACATCAAGTTGTGTAAAGGGACTGAAACCTTCGGGCAGAGATATATTCACTTTGCTAACATAGACAGAACCGAACTCAGAATAGAACTAAAATAAGGAAAATCGGAATAAAATTATGGCCTAGTCCTAACCTGATACACATACTACAGTACCCATCTTTTTAGTGGAATCTATGAAAATCTATTAACTATCCATCTGCTGTTAACTATTAGTTAATATCGAACTTTTGAACTATTTGCTATTTAATGATATGGTATTTACTCACCTGATTTTTCACAATGATACTTTGAAATAATTTGTACATTTCGACGATTCAATAAAGTTTTGCAGAGATTGCATGCTTGGTGGGCAATTCCCGTATCAACACATAGATTAGCAATATATAACAGAAATGTGATCTTGCAATGATCATCCGTATCCCGATACCAATTCAATGTGTCTGCAGCGCATTTTTTGATTACTGAAAACAAATTTATTAGATTAGAGAAGAAAAACAGGACGAGCAGGAAATTTGGAACCCAGAACCCAAGTAATTTGGGTTATATTCTTAATAAAACATAAGTTTGTGCAAAGTGTCCCAGATTACTTGAACTTGAAGATAGTTCATGGGTTCCGTTATTTTTTGAGTCAGTCAGCATATAATAAATAACATGATACTACATAAAAATTCTAGTTCAATTTTATGTTGTTAGACAATGGTGACACAATATTTCCCAGCTAAAAATAATATCATAAAATGAGTCAGATAAGTAGAAGATGACTAGCAAATTTTAATGTAATTGCAAAGACTCAAAACATCACATTTTAAATCAGTCACTCATGATTTTTTACTGTGAAGGAATCATTTACATACATTAATTTTATGCAAATTGGATGAAAAGTCATTAGAGAGTCTCCACATTAGTTTAAAACAAATACCCACTTATACAACACAAGTAAGTAAGGTTTACTGAAAGATTATGAAATAAAACATAATTTAAAGTTATTTCTAATAAATTTTCCTATTCAGATAACATTTTATAATTAATCTGTTTAGTTGAAATCTTTCAGTTGACAAGATTGAATAAATTACTACAATTTGAAAGTTTTTTATGTTTTTCATTTCTTAATTTAAATTTTTCTTTTCACAATTTCTGCATTTTTTTATAAAAATTGAACAATTCTCAACAAAATATGTCACTTACAAACTGATACAAAATACTCACATTGAAAGGAAAATTCTTTGTTAAAAGATTTAGTAGCGATATCAGCAGGTAAACCAGGATTAGATCGAGATCGAGTATAAACATAATCTTTCTGAGAAGCAGATGAGAATAAGATGATCAACCGCTGTATGACATTGACATCTTCAATTCTGTAACAAATAAATTTTTAATATAACTAAATATTTTAGTTGTATATGTATAATTTATTATAATAATACTTATGGTTTAAAAATAAACAACTTTTTTTCTAAACTTAACTTCTCTACGTGAAGAGTTGAGTACGGACACTTAGAGTTGTGTACCACATTTACATGTGACGAATCCTTATACGTATGTTTTACATAGTAAGAAACTAGTATATCATATATACCTTAGTTATAATGCCAAGAAAGGTAAACTCATACTTACTCTTGTATCAGACTCAAGAAAAATTTTCTGACAACACTTTTTCCTGCACGTAAAAGCCACCCCTCAGTTTCATGAAAAACGTGATGAAGCTTTTGTATGTTGGGTTCGTGCATGCTATCTATAGAACATGTTTTCGTATTTAGTTCAACAGACGACATATCTGCCTATTTGTGGTTACAATATCTACATTCTTTCTAATCAACATCCCAGAGCGGAGAATTCATTGAAATGATTTCATTTGAAACATAGAGCACCTATCATGTTTCAGGGCCACGAGTGTTTTGTTTACGTAAATATTGATTTCTCTCTAGCGCTACTTGTGACGCTAGCGGCGTTGCTAAGGAATTCCCATTCATAAAATTTATCAATATGCTTCAGTGAATCGAGCTCGTCATATGCATATCTATATCAGTGGTAAGGGAGAGAGAGAGAGAGATTTTTTATTTTCGTCAACCAGAAAAAAAAAAAACAGTCATAACAATAAATAATGGTAACAAAAAATACACTTTTTTCGGTATAGACTGGAAGGAGCGATACGACCATGCGGTCATCGAAGTCAGCTCCCTCCAAGTTTACGCGGATAAGTTCACAGTAAAATATGACTATTTGAAGTGGTTAAAATTCATGAAACAAAATTTGAAAAAAAAAACGAACAAAACAAAAAAAATGGACTAAGCAATTGTTCGTGTTAACATCTATATATACAAACACACAATTTGAATAAACATAGTAATACAGAAAAGTTATAAAACTAACAAAATAAATGTGGTATGATGCAACTAAGAAGCCCATTACTATTTTTCATTTGAAGAAATATTGCATTCATTTTGGACTGGGAGAATAATTTATGAAGGGGTCAGGTAAGGATATTACAAGCATTCGTCATGGATACATATTTGGAAAATATATGTAAGCGGGATCGGGATGCTATTTATCGTTTTGATATTACATGTGATGTTGTTATCTAATTTACCTAAATTGCCTGCAATTGGGCTACAAATTTCAATAGCCATCAACATGTGATGATTAAAAACAAAATGAGAAAATAAGAGATGGGCTGAGGCGCGTTATACAAATTGAACAAAAAATATAATTATTTTAGCGAAGTAAATTTTTAAAAGATAAGATTTGTCTTTGAGAAATGAAACAGTAAGGGGAAGTAATGATATTTAATCATATTGCAAAACATGACCTCTCGGGTCGGATATAGAAATAGCTGCATTGTTTCATATGAATCGACGGCAGCAGAAGTCTTAAATTCCTAACCGTGCATCGCTGACATGGACTATGATGCGCTACAGAGGACAGCAGTGTTTTATTATCATTCTAACGTTTATCTTCTATCTATAAAATGTGTATGAGCAAATCAGCGTCCAAATATGCCAAGTTCGAGTGATAATAGCGTTTGTGTTCGCCAGAAGGGGTGTATGCCGCACATTTGTGTTTTAGGCCAATATGGTCTTGTGCATACATCCCGTCTTCAGTATTTATAATTACTTACTCTTTTATATTGCTCTTACGAGACGAATAATCATACATACATACAGTCACTGACAACAATTCCAACTGCATGGTAGCATTATCCATGTAAATTGTCGGTGTGATTAGGTGATATAAAATGATATTTTATAGTTAAGGAAATAAGACATTGTGCCAGCTGAAGGATGTCCGTGAGGCTGTTTTTTAAAATTTGATGAGGATCGGGTTCACCTAGCCTCCCTCTCTTATGGCCTTGCACAGGCGAACGCCAGACATTCGTGCGCACGACGAAACGCCGAGGAATGTCAGCGTTAGCTGCAACACGAGTGTGAATGACCCTTTCGACAGTCGGGCCGTCCGAAAACCATGTTTGCGCTGCATTGTTGTCTATTGATTTTTCTATTAGGCTATTTTAGAATTTGAAAGCCCTGACTTGGGCTGTACAGTGTACACCCTTCGTATATCATTTCTCAGTTTATCCGATATACACTTGGGTATACCATATACGCTACCCGGTTGAAGAACAAATACAGTAAAAACTAATAGTAGGTAAAAGATCTCGCGCAATTCTGACAAAAAGTGTAACGGATTTCTTCATTTCATTTGTGCTGTGATCAACTGCGTGGGTTTTGTGAGAAATTACTATGGGGGATTGCCGTGTAGTGGTATTTCAAACAGCTGTAAAACGCAGCGTCATTTGTAGCTGATTAGCTATAGAACATGCTTTTGACTTATTAGCATGCTGGTATCTTTGGGCCACCTTCAGTTGTCGTGTAGTATAGCCTCACCCCTCACCCTAAATTAGAATAGCGAAAACCCCAACTGCGGAGTCTGTAGTTTCAACCTTAATTAAATCGACTGAACATATGATGTGGCGACATCAAGAGTGGTAACGATTTGAAAGGTATGCCGCACCATCTGTTCTGTCGAATATATAAGTAGTCGAACTGATTCGACCCGATGGGGAAAGAAGAAAACTAAGACTGAATGAGATAAGACGGAGAACGACTTGACTTTCTGATGTTTAATTGTTATGCTCATCACAATATTTCCTTGTTTTTTATGCTGCTTTATTCATATTCATACGGCGCACATAATGGCTCATATCCACAATATTCGCATTTCCTTATATACAAATTTTGCTAATATATAATATTTAAAGATATTTGTATACAAATTTGTAGTAAATATATGTTTAGATACTTGATTAATCGCTTTCTACCATTCCTCATTTCCCCTCATTTTGTTCCATTTGTTTATTATTTCCGTTCGCCCCATACCTCACTATTGTTTGTGTTCTGTTTGCCAAGTCCACTCATGTTCATATTTTGGTTATTTCATAGCATCAACCCCCCAGATTTCCCCCAATTCGAGTTAAAATTATAAAAACAAAGTTAATTTTTTCCACAAAGTTCTGTCATTATAAAATTAAAACTCATTTTCTCAGTATGTTTAAACACAAATTGGAATATTTAAGTTCTCATCCGTACGACGTACATAATCACCTGTATGGAGTTAATGAGAGTTCCTGTTTACGACGTGAATCATGAGATCACGTTTCCAATATTTTGTTTACTGTTTGATGAACGTGTATATACAAATCGATATTGATTGAGATAAAGTTGAAATTGATAAAGAATAAAAATTGTATCTAAGAGTGTATACATTGTATTCTGTATATATGGTCACAATTGGAATAAACCTCATGGGTGTTTCAATCGACTATTTTGCACTGCCAGTGGTTATCGTCAGGTTGACACCTTGGAATCTCAAACCTGGGACAAGTGAGAACTAATGCCTACAATTTCATTGATTGACACTGCAACCTCATACCCCCTTCTCACCCCATATGAACACCGCCCTTAAAAAAATTTAGGGGTAACTTATGCTGGTATCTTTGGGCCACCTTCGATTGTCGTATAGTATAGCCTCACCTCCGTATGTAATTATCACCCGCAAAACCCAAACCCCAACAGCGGAGTCTGTCGTGTCAACCTTAAATAGATCGACTGAACAGATGATGCGGCGACATCAAGCGTGGTAACGATATGACAGTTATGCCGCACCATATTAGGCTCTGTCGAATATGTTGGTCGTCGAACCGATGGGAAAAGGAAAAAAAAGAAAACTAAGACTGAAAGGGATAAAACGGAGAACGACTTGACTTTCGATGTGACTCAATATTATACTGCTGTTAATAAATACCTCAGAACTTAAGACTGTGGCACTGTAACGAAGAGCTAAAGAAAATATAGCACCCCTCATATCTCGTACATTTGAAATAACTATAGCATCTGGCACGGTCCCAGCAAGCATGCCTTTCAAAGAAAAACCCTGTATGAAGCAGGCTCCGTATGGGAAATTTATTTTCCATAAAAATGTGATGATTTTTATGGGCTTACATTCTTGCATTAATATCTTAAGTTTCCCAACTGAAGAAGTGAGTTCGCTTACAAACATGGTGCAAGATGAACTAATTTAAATTTATGTAATATTCTCAAAAGAGTAGAACCTTTTTATTCATAAGTTGAGTAATCAGACACAAAACTTAGAATCCATCATGAGACGAATGGAAATTCCGCGTTCGAAAGAACCAATGAAACTAAAAGTTTTCGGTACGATTCCAGAACCACCAAAAGGCGGAGTTATAGTTAAGGTAACGAACAACTCAATAGGTTAGCTTATTAGTATTAACTGCAAGTCTGTGACGTAATTGCATTATTTGCTAGTACTATAGGGAGAAGCGTTGCAAGTTTTAGGGGTACGTTTATGTATTTATGTCAAAATAATTATATATCTTGATGTCATGGTCCAGTATCCTTATTGTAGTTCAATATCCCTGTTATTGTAAAATGATATTTCATTATAAATTATCAATATTTTGCAAATATGGAATCAATAAGTTAATGTACAAAAAATATTTTTTTACAATTAATTATTTTATTAAAATTTGGTCCGGTACTCTTAGGTTTTTATTTTGCACTGTAACAAAATACTATAGCTGTCTGTTAATATTTATAATCAATCCACAATGAATTTTTACATCAATAAATCTTAAGAATATCGATGATTTAAATAACATGTTGTGAAATGATATGACATTCTCGTGAAATATAATTTCGTTTTATTCCAGACGGCTTTTTGTGGAATATGTCACTCAGATGTCCACTTCTTCGATGATGAATTTGAAGTTGGGGGAGGAACATTTTTGAAGACAAAGGATATCATTCCGAATTGGGAATATCCAATCGTGCTGGGGCATGAAATATCTGGGACCGTTCAAGCTATTGCAAAAGACGCAGGTGAACGCAATAATTTTCATAAAATACAGTATTTAAAATGATGATAGTAGCCAATAAAAATGGACCCAAATACAATTGTTGAGGAGTGCAAATGTATATAGTAGTTGAACCGACCTTAAATACATCACGTACGCTTTAAATAAACAGCAAGTGAAAGGGCGTCAACTCTAAGGGTACATATTGGATCGTGAATAATGGATAATTTTGATAAATTTCCCAATCATATTCAGGAAATAATTTTATTATTTCACTAATCATATGCTAAGTGTTATTTTTTTTTATTTAGATAATAAGGAAAACCTGAAAGTTGGTGACAGAGTAATTGTCTATCCGTGGCTTGGCTGCAGTGACTGTGGATATTGCAATGGAGAACAAGCAAATATTTGTTGTGGAACACCAAGTTATATTGGATGCTGTGGACCTATTGGCGGGTACATATCTTATATTGAGCTTCATTCGCATTATATCAAGTTTGAGTGGTATCTGTCGTTTTATTCTTTCCTATTTTTACACCTCATATCATTCAATATTATACATTTCTTGTTCTAGTTATTCTGAGTACATAGAAGTTGCCGAACCCAAATACGCTCTAAAAGTGCCTGACAACATACCATTGGACGTCGCAGCAATGCTGCCGTGTTCAACATTAACCGGATATAACGCTGTTTCGAAAGTGAAACCAACAGTAGAAAGATTCATGAACGCGCAAGGTATGTCATTGTATTTCAATCTATTAGTTCTTAGAAAGCCTAATTTTTACCCGAAAATCGATCTTATTAGTGATATCCGATACCAGATTATTAGGTAAAAATCAAATGATAAATTTTTTTTTGGCTGCCACACGTTGTTACAATGAAAACATGACATTTCGTGAATTTAAAAAGTAGTAGCACTAGAGAATAGTTGTCAACAAAGGGTGGATTTCCACCACGAATGCGGCAATGTTGTTTATTTGAGAGCCTCAGAATAGATACATATATTCGGTTCGGTACTGCTTCGTACTGTTCGATTCGATTAAATATTTACTTTAGAATGTATAATATCAAGTTCAGCGAACGACACTGCAATGAATTGCACACGGATTTGTTTCAAATTAAATTTCTAAAAAAAAATTGCACGTAGCAGCACGTTTACTGCTGTATTTGCATGTATGTATCTTGGCTATTGCAATCAGACATCGAAAATGTAAACGACCTAGTTACTAACATCGAATCTACAAAATTCAACCTTGATATACGCGATCAACAATTTTGTCTTATCAATGAAAAGTATTCAACGAGAGTTATGTTACATGCGGAAAATAAATATTCATTTTAGGATGTAAAATATCAAGTTTACCGAACGACACTGCAATGAATTGCAACAGATTTGACTAATCGAATTTCTGTTCGAGAAATGTGCACGTAGCAGAAAGGTTTAAGTTTACTGACGTGACAATATTAGCATAGATGGCTATTTCAGTCAGACATCAAAATTGTAAACGAAATAGACTGCTAACATCGAATCTACAAAATTTAACAACGGTGTCTCCTGGTATACGCTATCAACAATTTTGTCTTATTAATGAAAAGTATTAAACGAGAGTTATGTTACACGCGGTAAATAAATATTTATTTTAGGATGTGAAATATCAAGTTCAGCGACCTCCACTGCAATGAGTTCCACATTTGTTGCAATCGAATTTCGAAATAATTTAAGCGTCGCAGAAAACAAAACCCTCCATCAAATAAATGTGGAAGCTACCTGATCTGTTCCTCTTAGAATGTTTTAGTCGTTCGTTAACCTCCATATAAAAATCAAACCGTTGTATCATGAATGAAAATATTTGGTTGTTTTAACGACCGACGACAATTGAATTTAAAATGAAATGGGAGCACACGTATAATATTTGATATAAAGTTTGTGCTTTATATCAAATATCAAACTCCACAAAGACATACCGACTATGAAATTTTTTGATGCAAAATCAAGTGAACAGACGATTTAACAATATTACATCAAAAATAAGATACCGCATACATCAAAACTACTAATAATATACCAGTAACATCTTTAACCAAGTTTAAGCAAATCGATACACTAGCCCTCATCTGTAAGGCAGAATCACAAGCTACTATTGGCAGAACAGCATTTATATGAATATGTATCCTTGTAAACTAGATGATTGTAGAATGTAGATAAATTACGTTAACATAACAAATTTAGTACATTTTACCGACTCTAGAATACATGTCCGGGTCAAAATAATGACCATCCATGGACGTTACACATCTTCAATAGAAAAAGTTGGTGTCGGCTGGCTGGTGATTTTTAAATATATACATGTTTTTTCACAAGTTAATACACAAATAATTCTATATCATTCATATACCGGAAAAATGTAATGCGTTTGCTGGAAGGGCATTAAATATTATTCTGTACTTTATGCAGGTAAAGCTACTTTGCTAATTATTGGAGCAGGAGCACTTGGATTGTGGTGTCTACAAACGGCAAGGGCAGTTTTACCGAGAGGAACACGAATAATTATCTCTGATATAAGTGTAAGTGAAAAGCGAGTTTTATTTTTTCAGTCTGGAGTCGGATACACTACCGATTGTAAAAACAAACTTTCTCGGAAAACAAAATGGAATGTGTATATTCAAAAGTGATTATGTGTGCAAGAAAATATTATGAAAATGACACCTTAGTTGGTGAAACTTCAAAAGAGTCAATGAAATACAAAAATGATTAAATAAGATTAATAATAATAAACTTACAACATGAAAATGGCATTTACTATACCTTCAGTTGCTTTTATTCCGATTCAAGCATGGTCACACATGGGTCACTTCGAAAGAGTAAAACTAAGAAAGATAATGGGTCAATGAATATGAACTAATTGTACATTTACTTGGAATAGTTTCTAGTAAAAATTCAAATGTCGTTCAACATGGTAATCCTAAGTAATTTTATTCAAGCAACCTAAATTGGACAATGCTCTTGCACACGGTGCTGATGACACAGTTCTGTGGGATCCTTCCCTCAGCAAAGAAGATGTAATAAACAAAACGAAAGCAAAAGGAAGTGATGGCTCTGTTCAAGCCGTTATAGATTTCGTCAACTCAACTGAAACATCAGCAAGAGCTATGGGAGCTCTCTCCAAGGTATGATTAATTCGGCTAAAATTACGCAAAAAAAAAATTTGAATGCCCGTCGACAATTCCTACTCTGCGCAACAGTGTATCTCAAATGTAGTGACAGCACATATTTATGGGTGCAATAATCCATGGGTGCAAGTGTCCATAAATGCGGACATCCGTGGGTGCAAATGTTCATGGGTGAAAATGTACGCGGGTGCAATTGGACGTGGATGTAAATGTACGCGGGTGCACAAGAATTGGTGCAAATGTACGTGGGTGCAAATATACCCGGGTGCAGATGTACGCGGGTGCAATTGTATGCGGGTTCAAATGTCCGCAGATGCAAATGTCCACGGGTGCGAATGTCCGGGGGTGCAAATGTACCGGGTGCAAATGTACATGGGTTCAAATGCCCATGGGTGCAAATGTCCATGGGTGCAAATTTACACGGATTGAAATGTCCATGGATGCAAATGTTCATGGGTGCAATCTTTGTGTGGGTGCAAAAATCTGCGTTGCAAAAGTATGGGTGCAATTGTTTATGGGTTCAAATGTCCCTGGGTGCATAAATATGCAGGTTCAATTGTCCTGGGTGCAAATTGAGGATGCAAATGTACTCAGCGTGTTTTTCCATCTTAGGAATGAGTTTAATGATTCAAGTTCAGCATCATCCTTTTATTCTAGGGTGGTACAATCGCTATGGTGGGATTATTTGGCGGATCATTAGAAGTCTCCTTGCCATTGTTTGCATTTCTTCATCAACAAATCCAGGGAGTATTTGTCGGTTCTCTGGAGCAATTAAAAGAACTTGTACATCTAGCTTCAAATACCAAGGTAAAGTACGTTTAAAGGTACTCCTGTGTATGCAAACCAAGATGGCGGACACCGGAACGTAGTATGCGTAGCAAGTTCGGGTTAGGCCATAATTTGATTCCAATTTTCCTTATTTAGTTCTATTACAAGTTCGGGACTAGCCAAGTGACTCCCGTAGTATTTGTACCTGAAATTATGGCCTAACCCTAACCTGGTACACATACTACATTCCGATGTCCGCCATCTTGGTTCGCATACTACAAGAGTACCAGTTTAAATATAAACAATATGAGTTTCATAAAAGGAAGAGAAACGTGATAATGAGACAATAGGTTTTATCAGTAATCTTCTTAGTATTTGGTCGACGTTCTCAGTGTCAATAAATAGTTTGTTTAAATATTCACGACGGCGCGGAAAAAGTCTATAAAATTTACCAAACGTGATATAGAAGTTGTTGAAAAATATGAAAATCTAACACACAATATATTTTAATTCGATGTACAGCTGAAGCCACCTGAGATAACTCATGTCAAGCTCGAAAAGGTGCCAGAGATACTCACAAAGCTGCGCAGAGGAAAGATCACCGGGAGAACCATAGTGAAGTTTTAATATGGAGCGGAGTTCAATTTAAGGGACTAATGAATTCATTTTTTCACGTCCCTTCAAATGATTAATTTTATTTCGAATAGTAGTTATAAAAGTTTTCGTAGGGCCCAGCAAAATCAATATTAACGAACTTGTTTTGAAATTGATGATACAAACCAGTGATTTTTTGTGTTGTTCAATTGTTAAGATGTCAACATATTAATGTGTTTAATGCACGGTAAGAATGTGGCTTGATTTGTAATCTAAAATTCATCGCCATTATATAAATAAATGGTCAGATATGGTGTTTATGAGTGGTCACCAATGGCGAATCTGTTAAAAATACTAATACATAAGTATATAAAGTAGTTACGCGAGTTGCGGGTTTCCCACCCCTGATATAGGTCGTTAACAAATCATTGCTCATAGAAAGGTCGTTTAGATTCTAGGACAGACATGAGCAAGCTACGGCCCGAGGGCCAAATCCGGTTCGTTGGGTAATTCAATCTCGCCCACCTGATGCTGCCACAACCAAACTGAAACCAAATTTTGGGGTTTTAGCGTAGACTAGCTCAAGCAATTTATTGAGATTGCGCGATCAACTTAATTTTGAAATGAGGCTTATCGTTTTCCCCTTTTTTTTTGTAACACTGTAAATAACCTTTACGTCATCCTTGCATTGTCCTTGCATTTTTGGCCCCGGGTCCAAAAACTTTGCCCACCCCTGATCTAGAACATATGCAGAATCGTCTTTCACGAGTCAGGTCTCATTTCCTTGAAAACAGGCTTACGGTTACGTGGATTTAGCAAAAATCTCTTACTTGGCCGTTAATGAGGTAGGGTAGTAGTGAAGTAAATGGAGCCAGTTCAAAAAATTTGATTCTGGAATTAAAAAAGAATAATAATGGAAAAAATGGGTGGGTCTCATGACACTGACTCTTAGATTTAAAAGAGCAGAATTATACTGGGAAATATGAAGAAAATGGAATGTAGACTTAAATGTCCTCAATGCCTTGGGACGCTATATTAGTTTATTAGGCAATGGCCCCATATATGTCCATGAAAACCTAAAGAACTAAAATAAAAATTAATTTATTATCACTTAAATTGTACAAATCGTGCCTCAAATTTTGAGTAATCCTATCAAAGGTATGGCCTGACTGATCGATTCATGGTGTAATTGATTTTGTCAAATCAAGCGCCACGGCTTCAATAGCTTTGGAATGTTCTTGCAAGGTAAAAACATTACAAACCATTATTGGGGGTCGTATTAATTTAAAGTTACACATCCTGTCATCAAAACGGGCAGCTAGCTAATCGACTCCTGTCGCCATAAACCAAATGCGTTGCCGATGCATGGACTGGGCCATTGAACTGATCTTAACGCCATGGGACCGGCCCTGTAAAATTTCTGGACTGCCTCCATCTACTTTACTACTACCCTACATCATTTACGCCATGTAAGCGATTTTTGATAAAACCACAGACCTATAAGCCCGAAATGAGACCTAACTTGTGACAAACTATTCTGCACATGTTCTAATCTAAAATACCTTTCTAGGGACAATGATTTTTAACGGCCCATGACAGGGTACTTGTAGCCCACATTACTACTATATATTCTTATGTATTAGCATTTTCAACGGTTTCGCCATTGGTGACCATTCATAAACACCATGGCATATTCTGATATTTACCAACTTTCATACGAATCAACAGAGCGTGTCGCTTTTTGATGGGACGCAGCGATGGATTCGCATGAGGTGGGCGGTGGATGATCTGAGGGATAGTTGTTTCGTTGAGTCCCAACACTGTACTGGAGAAGGTTTGGCGTGATACTGTATGTTAGTGTTTGAGACTCAAGGTACAGCTGACTAAATTTGACACAATGACTGGTCACATGGCGGTACGATACCGCTGCAGCACAAAGCAGTTTCATTGCTTCGGCATGCTTAGCGGTAATAAAGTCTGTATTTAATCTATAATATGAAAAAATACCGTTAAAGCAACACTTATACGTAGCGTACTCTACGAAGCAAGTACAGTACAACAGATGAGAAAGTGAACGACGAATTCCGAAACTGCAAGGTGAAGCGAGCATCCCCTCAAAAACGTTACAGGCAGCATCGGTCAAAGGTCATGAAAGTTGGTAATGACGATGACTTTTCGTTTCGATTACTAATAAAGCCACATTCACATTTTTGCAGTACATTAAGCACATGAATATGTTCGGAACCTCAACAATTAAACGTTGAGGTAGTAGTATAATGAAAACAATTGAGAACTTTACAAAAAATCACTGGTTTGTACTTTGTATCATCAATTCCAAAACAAGGTGGTCAATAGGCTTGCACGTAATTGACAAAAATCAATTCCGTAATTACGGCCAAATCGATTACGTAATGACCCCGTAATTACGATATTTTTTCACACATTTAAACCTATCATAACAACCGATTGAATCCACTTCATTTTCGATTGGGACATCGAGTTTGAGTTTTCATATTCCTGGCAGTACTACACGCCGACGACAGATGTTAATAAGACAAGAGTGAATTCAAATTAATTTTATTCTGATTTTTATCTTTTGTTCTAGCTTTGATTTCCTTTATCACCTTCGCAAATTAACCGTCCCAATTTTATGCGATCAATTTTATCATTACCGACACTGGTATACGGATATTTATGAAACGATAGTTGACTTTTTTGACATCGTATTAAAAAAATGTCGGGTTTCCAATTTATCAATGCCACGACGTGCGTATTCTCTAGTCAGCATTTTATAATAATTATTGATGCCGACTTATTGACGTTATTCCGATTACCATGCTTCATTTTACATTAAAACATTTCGCGGCCTAAATGTTGTAACATTATTTGCGACAAATTTAGATCAAATAATAATTATTTGCGCATAATTCAAATACCGTACTTATATGACATGGATTTTCCGAAAATACAAAGTTATATCGCAAAAAAATGCATATTGTGACATTTATTTTGCACTCACGAAAAAATTAACTTATTTTTCTAACTCAAGTCGACGATCCTATCCGCCAAGATTGACACAAATTTGGTCGAGTGTCGGTGGTATTCAAGAATCAAAATAAGTTGCCGCATTTGGTGGACAGTTAATCATATTTGGCCGAAATATTGCGAGGCATTGTGGAAAATATATTGAGCGAGGACAAGTCCGGACTAATATAAAACGATAAAACCGGTAACAGAACATCAAGGTTTTGTAATTGAAAATGGTTCTCGCACAGAATAAACACACTGGCTCATACTTGATATTTGATAGTAGATAAATTGAGAATATTGAACTGTTAAAAACAAGAAAACGATCGTCGAAATTCTTAAATCTCGTTGCCATAGTTAAATATAATCCAATGATCAGGACATTTCCAATTAAACACTGCACAAAGATAGTTATACATTAAACATTTAGGCTACAATTTAGCTTTTTTTCTTAATTTTAATCATGCATTGTGGTGGAGAAATCCCACTATTTAGGATTTTAGGATAAAGGATTTTTACCGGATCGCGGGAAATCCCGTCATATTGTTGTTTCTCTGCCGTTTCAATCGCTTTACCGATGCCGAAAAGACGAAGTTGCGTTGGTTCATTACGCAATTTCTCTTCCATCGTCATATTGCTGATTTTTACCGGATCGCGGGAAATCCCGTCATATTGTTGTTTCTCCGCCGTCTCAATCGCTTTACCGATGCCGAAAAGATGAAATTGCGTTGGTTCATTACGCAATTTCTCTTCCGTCGTCATATTGCTGTTTGATAAGCGCGACATTAATTATCACGGTGACGTATTGGCAAGGAGAGAAAAGTGAGAAAAACGGCTGCAAATACCGAAGCTCTAACTTCTTCTACTTTTTAAACTTTCGACGGAATCGACTGCTTTGAAGAGTGCTCGTTTCAATCGCGAAAGCGCTCGACCATAATTACGACTTTACGTAATTCGTAACTTCCCTTCCGTAACTCGAAATAATTCCGTAATTCCGTAAATCTGTAAATTACGTGCAAGCCTAGTGGTCAATATGGATTTCTCTGGGCCATACAAAAAATTTGCAAAATAGAATTAATCATTTGAGGTACGTGAAAAAATGAATTCATTAGTCCTTTAAATTGAACTCCGCTCCATATTAAAACTTCACTAAAGTTCTTCCAGTGATTTCGCCTCTACGCAGTTTTATGAGTATCTCTTGCACCTCTTCAAGCTTGACATGAGATATCTCAGGTGGCTTCAGCTGTACATCAAATGAAAATGTATTGTGTGTTAGATTTTGATATTTTTCAACAATTTTTGTATCCCGTTTGTTAATGTTATTCGACTTTGACATTGAGAAGGTGGTCGAAAAACTAAAGGGATTACTTTATCCCATTATCAAGTTTTCTTTTCCTTGAAACTCAAATTGTTTATATTTAAACTTACTTTACCTTGGTATTTGAAGCTAGTTGTACTAGTTCTTTTAATTGCTCAAGAGAACCGACTAATACTCCCTGGATTTGTTGATGAAGAAATGCAAACAATGGCAGGGAGATTTCTAATGATCCGCCAAATAATCCCACCATAGCGATAGTACCACCCTAAAATAAAAGGTTGATGCTGAACTTGAATCATGAAACCTCTTTCTAAGTTGGATGAACACGCTAGGTATGTTTGAGATACACTGTTGCACAGAAAATAGGATTTGTCGACGGACATTCAATCTATTTTGCGCGATTTTAGCTGAATTCATCATATATATACCTTGGAAAGAGCTCCCATAGCTCTTGCTGATGTTTCAGTCGAGTTGACGAAATCTATAACGGCTTGAACAGAGCCATCACTTCCTTTTGCTTTTGTTTTGTTTATTACATCTTCCTTGCTGAGGGAAGGATCCCACAGAACTGTGTCATCCGCACCGTGTGCAAGAGCATTTTCCAATTTAGGTTGCTTGAATAAAATTAATCAGGATTACCATATTAAATGACATTTCAATTTTTACTAGAAACTATTTCGAGTACATGTACAATTAGTTCCTATTCATTGACCCATTATCTTTCTTAGTTTTACTCTTTTGCAGTGACCCATGTGCGACCATGCTTGAATTAAAGCAACTGAAGATATTACAAATGCCATTGTCCTGTTGTAAGTTCATTAATCTTATTCAATCATATTTCTATTCCATAGACATTTCGAAGATTCACCAACTAAGGTGGCATTTTCATGATATATTCTTGCACACAAAATCACTTTTGAGTATACATGTGCCATTTTGTCTTTCGAAAAAGTTTCGTTTTCACAATCGGTAG